ATGGTCAATAATGAGCGGCGACATATTATTGCTAGCTAGAATAATTTGAGAGAATACGTCCAGTAAAGTATGATCATGATTGATCAAAAAATAATTGTGATAAATCGTCCTGCAAATCACACATCTCTCAGGCACGACTCAGAAGGCATTGAGGGGAAATCAATCTCACAATCCAAAACCTAAAAGGTAAAAAAATCCATGTATGCACGCACTAGCTTAAAGGGGAATAAGTCATGACACCTAAAACAAACGCATTTTCAGGAAAATAGAATATATTCACATCGTATCTTTATTTTGATAATCAAAAATATACTCCAAAGTCGACGTAGTAACTATAATTAGTTGTCAAAAATTGTATCATGAAGATAGAGATTGATTCCAAATTGATAAAATCTCGAATAAATATTATCATGACGCGTTAAGAATATTAGAGTACTATATTATATCGTTTTCATTGCTTATATATTGATTTATTGGTTCACATATTCCACTGTTAAAACATCTTTTTTCATTTCCCCTTTTTATCAACTGCCACAAAGTTTTAAAGGAAGGGCCAAAAAGGGTCAAATCAAAATTCCACCTATTAATTAAATTAGTTGCATTAAGTAACGTTTAAATAACATAAAAAATGAATGTGGATTTCCTTTTATATTCCAAAGCAAAGCAAAGCAAGTAGTCTACTCTTGTCTCAATTTCATTATGTCAATGCGATACTTAAAAATATTAAATATTTGAATTTTAAAGTAGCAAGAATTTTAGTTAATTGATATTATACTTTTGTAACGATTAATGGTCAAATTAAGTCTCAATTAAATTACTTAGCTTGTCCAATGCATAAACTCAGTCAATAAACAAATAGTCCCGACTAAACTCACTAAATGATAATGAAACAATTTTTAGGGTATTTAAAACATCATAAATTATAATGTTTTGCACAACTATGAGTATTTTGTAGTTATTGAAAGGTGTGGGGATGCAAATTGAACCACTGAATTAAGTGTCTACTGTGGAATTTTCTTTGCCATATATATTTGAATTCACTAAATTTTAAAATTAATTTGTACATTTGCCACTATTGCAACATAGTTTTCTCGTTCTATTCTGGAATTTTTTTATCCAACTATATTGACAAAAATGAGGGGTAAATTACTTAGAGTACACACAAGAGTTGTCTTTTTTTGAATTCCAAGATAACCCGCAGTTGTTACAATCTTTGTCCTTCGGGTGAGCACTTTGTGATTTCTGGATAAATCCCCCACTGTGTATTAGCTTGCAAATCACATAGGGAATGTAAACCGCATTAGGCAAACCCTATGCTACAAGCTCAACTCAGAAGGCATTAAGGGGAGATCAATCAGGGGTCATCCGTGTGGATAACCACCCTCCTAACCAACTAAGTCATCCCGAAGGACTTATTTTTTTTATTTTTTAATCAAACAGGAAAATTATAATCCTTTAATAATATTTTTTTCCAATTTTTTTTAAATATTTTAAATTATTAATTAGGTTAATTTTACAATATTTTTGGTTTAATTTTCCTAATTAACAACATTGTATCCATAATTAATATATCCAAAAAAATCATTATTAATATGTATTCAAAGTTGCTAAAGTATTTAACAACATTAAGTGTTGGTTATAAATACACTATTATATTATTGCTAATAATAATATAAAGACAATTATATTATTGCGGTAAATTATTCATTTGTTGCGATGAATATTTTAAACTTCTTTCCGTGAAACTAGTTAAATTGAATATATGTAATATATTTATATTAGGAGGGGGGGGGGGGAGAGAGAAACTTGAAACAAATAAAAGAACAAATGTAAATCAATTTAATTATAGTTATAATACGAGTTTTATTCATGATATGCCAACAATCAATTAATTATTTTCATCTTACGTTTTTTCTGTAGTACAGCAAAATCAATATCTAGTTAAATCTCCGTTAAGTTTAAAAAATAAATTTTGAGACCTCCTTTTTATTTTTTTGCTCCAAACTTCATACAACCCAAAATAGATCTTACCAGTATTATTGTCTTTTCCTTTTCTGATCATAATACTTTTTTATATAAATTTTTTCCCATTAATCTCACTTGTCAAATTCACCTTTCTTTCCATTAATCTCACTTGTCAAATTTACCTTTCTTCCATTGAGTATTATCTCCCCATTTAGCCATAAGATAAACAGGTGAATTGGTCCAATCAAATGCATAAGTCATTAGTGACACTAGACTATATTAGTATTATTAATGTATCCAGTTATCTATAACCAATTACTTGTATAAATTTTGCACCATGTGTTTTGTAATTCAAATATATTTAATGACTATGTCAGTTAATTTACAATTGCACAGTATTATATGTGTGGTAACACATTTAATTTATATAACTTAGAGTTGGTACACCAATTAATTCTTACTCGTCTTTGAGTAACTTCCAAAAGCGTTTATCATTTTTCCAAACAGTATTAAAAGCTTTTGGATAAATTATATAATCACTAAATAAGTGTATAATTTGTTCCGCCATATATATTTGAATTCGCTTAACTTCTGAAATTAATAATTTCCTCGTTCTATCGTGAAAAATTTTTATCCAACTATGACAAAAATGAGGGGTAAATTAATTAGAGGACACACAAGAATTCTTTTTTAATGACACTAGAAAATAATAATCCTTTAATTATATTTCTTTTGAAATTTCTATTAAATATTTTTAATTATTAATTACTTTAATTAACAATATTTTTGGTATAATTTGCATAATTAACAACATTGTATTCATAAGTAATATCATTGTATTCAAAGTTATTGAAGTCTTTAACAACATCAAGTGTTGATTATAAATACATAATATGCTATGTTATTGCTACTAATAATATAAAGTCAATTATATTATTGTAGAAAAATTATTTATTTATTGCGATGAATATTTTAAACTTTTTCTAGTGATACTATAGTAAAATTGTATATATGTAATATAGTAATTAGTGTGTCGGGGGGGCGCAAACTTGAAACAAATAAAAGAACAAACGTAAATCTAAATTAATTGAAGTTATAATTGAGTTTAACATATGAGTTTCATTTATGATATAACAATAATCGACAAATTATTTTGGTCCTACAATTTTCTTTGTAGTACAACTAAATCAATATCTAGCTAGATCTCTGTCAAGTTTACTGAATGGATTTTGAGACCTCCTTTCCACTTTTTGTTCCAAACTTCATACAATCCAAAATAAATCTTATCAGTATTGTTCCCTTTTCCTTTTATGATAGTAATAGTTTCTGATATCATCTTTTTGTCATTAGTCTTAGTTGCCAAATTTACCTTTCTCCATTGAGTATTATCTCCCCATTTAGCCATAAGATATATTGGTGAGTTGTTCCAACCGAACGCATCAGTCATCAATGACATTGTAAATTCAATGTTGTATGATGTTTTCTTTGTTATATTAATATCGTCGATGCAACCAGTTACTTCCAACCAATTTACCTGTATAAGTTCTGCATCATCCTTTCTGTAATTCAAATAGATTTAAAAACAGTGTCAGCTTGTAAGGTAGTACATATATATGTAGTAGCACACATTTAATTTATACGACTTAGATTTTGTTCACCAATTAACTCTTACTCGTATTTTGGTAACTTCCAAAAGCGTTTCTCATTTCCCCAAACAATACTAAGAGCTTTCGGATAAACTATATAACCCTGCGAGCAATGAAAATAACAATAGCAAATTTTAAAACATAAACTCGAACACAAGTATAATGCCCAAAGGGAAGTAGAACAAGAATTGCGAATATTGGAAGAAACTAATGGATGAAATTTTGCTCTACCTTTTGTGTTTTAGAGAATGTGTGGTTGCCTTGATAGTGAAGAGATCTTGAAGCCATTTGATTTGTACTAATTACTCACAAAGTTACAAAGAATAATGTGTAGATTTAAGTGATATGTGATATGTATATATAGAGATGAAATGCATGCACTAAGCCAAATTAAAAGGAGAAATTGGGGAATCAACTAATAGTCAAAAAGGAATGTCACATGCACTGTCCAAATAATATATTTCTTGAATGAAATGTTTTAGTTATTCATTATATCGGATTACTTTATGCACTAATTAGAATCTATGGGCTGAGCTAGTTGCCACCTGAATACGAGTTTAACGAATTCAAATAACTTTTACTTAAAGTTTTAATATATTTGTATTAAAGAAAAACTCATTAATCAAACAGCTTTTATTCATTCATATATTTAGAAAATATTCTATAATTAGTCAAAAATTGGATACGTAAAACTAGAAGTCTAGAACCGTCCTTTGTTTATGTAATGGATTCCAGTAATTACCTTGACTTAATTAATCGGATTAATTATAGAAATTCCACTTTTAGTTACTTGCTGTCATTATTCCCTACAAGTTTTGCAAATTTTCGAAATTTCTCATTTTTTTCTTAAGTCAAATATATCATTAATGTATCCCGACCTTCTTTTTAATGTGTCGTCGCATGTATCCGACCATCTTTTTAATATATCAGCGCTTTAATTTTTTGGCCATTAATGTTTCTGTTTCTTTTTTTAAAATGTATTAGCGTTTGTATTATTGTATCTGTTTGAGGGATTGCTATAGTTATAAAACTTTTAAGAGGTAAATTATAATTTTACCTTGAAAGTATGTAATTTCTGTAATTTGCCCTTAATTAATTTGTCGTCCAAATTTGACTTTTCTACTTAATTAATCTTGTGAGTAATGTCTTTCTAAAATTGATTTTTTTTTTTTGCTTTAATTGTGTTTATTTATATTTTATGGAATCCGATTTGGTCAGAATATATGGAGGCAAATGATCAATTTTATGACTATGCCGACAGAGAGCATAATAGTAAA